AATGACAGATAACAAAGCCTGGTGTTCCTGGACAGGCTGTCCAGTAATGAGACACATTCCCAATGGATAGGCGAGGTGTCACCACTAACAAATTCACAGACTGGGAGTGCAATTAGTCTGAAAAAGGCTGGAAAATTGGACGACATCAGCATGGGCCAAGACGATTGAAGGCAGCTGAAAGAAAAATGCCCCTTTGGTACCAGGCATCCACCATAGGAGGGGCGTAAGGGTCTCTCTTTCTCCTCCACATCTTTCTCCATGAAGAGATGTGGACAGGTTACCTTTATGGAAACATTATTCCTCGACTGCTCCATGGCAGGAGTTCATTACAACGCAGCCTTACGTTGAAATATTCTCAAGAAAATGTCAGCATATGTAAATGAGGAGTCAGCCTTCATGCGGATCTCATGTTTTGTTCAAAGCTGTTGCAACCTTTCTTTTCTCATTCATGTCTGGCTTCATCAGCAGTGATAATTCCAAAACGATGCACAGTATATCCTCTTGGAAAAATAAACAGGAAATGACAAGAAAGTCGACATTTTTGCCTCGGTCTGGTTTCAAACACACCATTCATTGTTCTCGTGTTTTTCATTGTAACTGTCCCTACAGCATGACATCGGCTATGAGAAGTTGAGCTACGGCCACGCGACGACTGCTCCCGGGAGAAGCATTATTCCAAAAATGGGTGTCGTGACAGGAGTTCCGCACATTGGGAGCCAGATTCTCCAATCGTTTCGAAATCATTCACAGTTAATTTCCCAATCGCAAAATCGATGAAGGAAATATGGCCAAAAGAAAAAGGGACAAAATATATAGGTTTTAGCAATATTGATTTTATGTTTTGTAGCTGTAGTTATATCTGTACTAGTAAGCCATATTAAATCATGTTGAACTGCATCGATCCCTCAGGGCAGTTTAAATATTAGTGAGCATTAAATCAATATCAATGCGGTCTGTTGTTACACACTAAAAAGGACGCGGGCATGATTCAACATTTATGCAAAACAACTGCTAAAGTCTGGCGTGGCGTCTTGGCTGGTGCCATGCTCGTGCACTGCGCGGGCCCCGTGGCTACTCCCGGCGATGAGAATGGATAGAGCTTCTATTCACAGCCACCCGTGTGTGCCGAGTGCCTCCATTCATCGCCTCGCCCAGTCGTTCCCTCGACGTGACGGCTACCATGGGAGGCTAAGGCTAACGCCCAAGCATCGAGCATCCGTGCTCGCTTTGATGCTGGGCTAAATAATTTCCCACTTTTGCATGTATAAATGCACCAACATCTTAGGGTTCTTTTTTCTCTCTCTCTCTCTCAAAAATTCATTTTGTGCCTTGGTACAAATGATGCCAGCGAGTTCATCTCGAGCTGTGAGGAAATGTGTGTCTTTGAAAAGAATAATGCAGTATCTCCCAAAATGAGCCTCTGCTGTACCTCGGCGCCTGGGTTGAAGCTGCGGGAGCGCCATCAGCCTAATGAAAATTCCATTAACATCCTCGGTATTCCTACTTCTACAGTCTACATTATGCAACACATGGGCATTGGGGCCACGATGTCTAAGTTTGCTAACATTTCTTAAGCAGGATCAAACTCTGGAGTCAATGTGAATTTGATGAGTTCAACAGTATAAATATTCACTTTACACATAATGTAGTGCATCCTCCAAACCTGAACGCAAGCTGTTACCAGACTCACAAGTTGTTCCAATTTCATCCATCCAGGCGTTTCCTCTGCTACTTGTCCTCATTAGGGTGAAAAAAGGCAGGCGCAACTGAGCCAAAAGGCGAAGCGCTCGATGTACCGGTGGGTCTAGGTTCCTACACTCACTTACGGTCACGAGCCGTGGGTCGTGACCGAAAGGAGGAGATCCCGGATGCAGGTGAGCGAAATGGGTTTCCTCCGCAGGGTGTGCGGGCTCTCCCTGAGAGAGAAGGTGAGGAGCTCGCTCGTCCGGGAGGGGCTCCAGAGTCTCCGAAGTGGCTGCGGGGAGCCTCAAGCTGTTGCCCCTGCTTCTCGACCCTGAATAAGCGCTGGAGAATGGATGGATGGCACAATGAAGGTTGGAACTCCCGAGTTTTGTTTGACTCCAATTGTAGGAGAACTGTTGTATAAGGCCTCTTTGGCGCACAGAATTAGTGACTTGAGCTAGGCCGTTGTATCGCGAGGGACTTCCTCTTTGGCACACTTGGATTCAGTTAAGACCATGGGGCGACACGATGTTACATGGGTGAGGAAAAGTCTACGAAAAACCACGTGAACTTTTCAGAATATTTTCCAAGAAAACTAAAAGCCACTTCAGAAGTTCCACTGTCTATCTGCAGGCACTGGCAAATGCCAGGTAGATTTTGGGGGCCTTGTTTGGGAGGACTCTTCTTCTGTAATATCACTACATATTGGGTGGAATTGATATAAAAATGAACTTTTTGGACTCATTGACTGCAAGCCTACGATGTGCAAGGATTCTGTCATTTGTTATGAAGCAAATGTATGCGACAATATCGGAAATCCAGTTAGGAAGAAAAGTGATGAGTTTCAGGAAGGCACTGGAATCTCCATGCAAATGCATAATAATCACACGGTCTACAATATTACAAAAAATATCTTGAATTCAATTATCACGCGGGCTGAAATAATCCTAATGTTATTGGAAACTCAATTACAGAAGCAAGCCATGTCTGGAAATTAGCTGAACTTAGCAACGGCAAGTCAGCCCCTTGTATTCATCAAGTATGGATTATCACAATATTACATGTTCACTTTGATTGTGCTGTCCAAAGACAAACAGTCACAGTCACTGCCGCAACTCCCCCCTCCCCCCCAACCCCCTTTGTTTTATTCATGAACTGCTCTCTGATCTATTATACATACAAAACTGATTCTATGCCGATCGCCTCGGGCTCAAAGGCTCAGACATAGAATTAATGATATTATATACACATGCATGATAATTGTGTATGATTCGGTCAAACACCGAGGTATTCCTTTATGTGTGATTACCATTGTTGCTCCGCTGGCAATTATTTTCGTTAATGTCGCTAATATATTGTTCACGTTATTGTTTTATTGCGGCCTTTCTCTTGGACTTATTCACAAAAGAGCGGCATGTACAGTAGGTAGCTGCTCTTTTGTGAATCATGGCGTTGCTTGACAAGGCTCATGACATTAAGTGCATCAATGTTGAAAGAATATTACTTTGAAAATAAATACCAAACTAACACAGGTCAACCGCGAGAGATGAGTGGTAGCTCATTAAAAATATTAATGAAATGCTGAAGCTCCTCTGCAGTGTTGGTAGAGAGTACTTGATTTTGTCGTATTGTCATGCTAAATGTACTTCCTCTGGCGCACTTGAAGGCTAGATCTTGGCTATTAGCATTTGTATATTTATGGCGACTTGGTTTCTGATTTGCATACCTGGGCATGATTGAAAATACAATTTACATTTGGGAAATTCCAACGCATGCTGCAAGCGAGAATTTTGCATATTGCACGTGATTTTCCAAATCGCCCCCGCCCCCCTTTGGCTTTTCTTGCGACACGTGCACAGTCATGACAAAAAGATATGAAGTGTAATGACCACCGAATGGAAAAAGAATTTAATGCAACGTAAGGCAGCTTGATTTCAGACGCGGCTTTAAAAAAAACTGTCACACAGCCAAGTCATCGCTGTAAACGTACGCTTGTTGGAATAAAATCAGCAAATCGAGTCCTGATATCCCCTGCAGTCCAGCATCTGCAGTCCAACTGGTCGACTGTGTTTCAGCCATGCCCATGTCCATGCCCATGTCTACGCAAATCAACGTGAAAGGTTCTCCTCAGGTCACGCTGCTCGACCCCCACCCACCCCCCCACCCCCAGCTCGCACCGTCTTTCCAGCCATGGCTGAGCTGGGGAATATGCCGCCTTGCTCCGAGACGACTTCAATCCGCTATTATCAGGAGTGCGCACATTGCCGCTCACAAGGGTTTAATTTATTTGTGCCTGTTTGTGCCCAAGATTAAAGTTTAATTGGCGCTGACTGGCAGCTCCCAAGTTTTGACTAATTCTCCTTATCGGGAATGCTTACTGAGTAGCTGTGGGCAATGTGAGGCACGCCTGCCTTTTTACACACACACACACACACACACACACACACACACACACACACACACACACACACACACACACACGCACACGCACACGCACACACACTCTTCAAGCGACAACCATCAAAATAATCATTTTCTTTAATTGGTTAATATATTGACTACCTGTGATGACATGGGTGTTCTTTAGGTGTGTTTGAATGGAATTGTACTTGTGTCAGGTGAAATTAGCACTGATTAGGTTAATACTTGAAAATTTCCTGCATTGTATGTAAAAAATATCCAACCCGATTTGACCTACTTTTTGTGTGTCTGTGGGGGGGTGTATTGTAGGTGCGTTTTTATTTTAAAATCCTTTAAGATTAGAAATGATATATATGTATATACACACACACACACACACACACACACACACACACACACACACACACACACACACACACACACGCAGTGTGATAGTGATGACATTCCCTTTTCAATGTGACCCTAATACTGCTTTGTTCACATGTTTTGCAAGATGTCATCCAGATTCCTTAAAAGGGAGGCTTGCAGTTTAAAAAACAAAAACAAAAACAAAACACATTCACTGTCATATGTTAGAACTGTCTGTATGACCTGACAGAAGAATATGATTACGATGATCTTTGGAGAAAAAAATTTTTAGTAATCCTTCTCTGAATCCATCATATGCCTCTAACGTCGGTTATGAGTATAATTTTAAAACGAATAGGAAAAAAGAATAAGCCACGAGAGACGGTGGAGGCAGAGTGGTGTTGCCGTGCCCACATGGGCACAGACACTGCTTAAACTTAGCAAGTTTTCAGACCCTCTAGTGACTCTTTTTCCAAAAAGCAACGAGTGACAAACCGAGCGACATTTCCCGGTGTTAGTGGCGACTCTGGTGTGCGTCTCGTTCTTACCGTTGTCAACGTGCAGCGGGTGCTCACAGGTGGCCTGGTCCTCTCGCAGCACTAAAAGGAGGGTCTGAAAAACAATTGAAAATAAAATGATGAAACGGAATGAGGGCCGAGTATGAGTGACCATCATTTTCTCAACTGTCATTGTGATGTGTTCTATTGTCTCTTTTGGGTTAGATTGTTCGTGTAGATTGTTTACAAAAAAATAAGGTTAAAATGTTTCATTGTGACCGAACCAAACTTAAGTCCGAGTTACTTTGTTGTTGTTGTTCTTGTTGTTGTTTTATGTTTGGTTCGGTCACAATGAAACATTTTAACCTTATTTTTTTGTAAACAATCTACACGAACAATCTAACCCAAAAGAGACAATAGAACACATCACAATGGCAGCAAGAACAACAACAAAATAACTCAGACTTGAGTGTTTGTATTGGCTGACTTTTGCCGGTCCAGAGCTCGGATGAAGAAAGAGGGCTGGGATCGTGACAAGAAAAGAAGCAAGAATCGACAATTCATTTGTTATTCCAAATATAATTAGGTTGGGATTTTTTTTTTCTTCCTCACCTTTTGTCCTTCCCGCGACGTGATCCCTCTCCTACAGCGTTCATTCCAACACGGTCAACGATGCGATGAGGCGTCATTTCGGGATTTGAATCGACTGTCAGGACAGCCAATAGCTACTTTCCTTACTTGCAACACTGCCACACGCAAAGCCTCAACTTGTTGTCTAGACACACAGCAGCCTTAGTTTCCTTGGCCGGATTTTTTTTACTTCACTATAGCAACAAAAGTTAAAAAGAAGGAAGTGAACAGCTCTCGAGATAAAACAGGGAACAAAACAACACCGAATCAATCGTGCTAGCAGAGTAACTTCCGTAGCTACATTGGCCTGCGTGCTCACGCAGTGCGTGCGCCGCGCATGCTCACTTGAGTCAGGGGGCGGGTCTTTGGTCTGAGACTCGAATGAGGCGGGGGGGGGGGGGTAGGGGGCTGTTCCTTGGTCATTCTCCCTACGTTTTTCCTTCCGCCTTCGTCACCGTTGATTCGTACGTTCCTGTTTATTTGCATCGTTTATTCGTCAATTCTTTTGGTACTTTGTAAATTATGATCGGAGGCCAACCAGTTGCAAACCACAACAACAGCACCGTGGTTGATGCTGCCGCATTTTCCCATGAATGGTTCTCGCATCAATCATTATGTAGTGCATTACCGTCAAGCGATCCCATTTCCATAAACGCACATTTATGACGGAATAATACACACGCGTAAATAACGCTGATAATCTCGGCCTGTGTTTGATCAGCCGAACGTCGGAGGAGCGATCGCTTGTGACCCGCAATATTAGCGGCAGCTATTAAAATGTGCGTACAATTTGCAAAGCTTCATTTAGTCAGTCGGGGAGACGTGCGTGAAATAGAGTTCCTTTGGTCGTAACTAATGTCTCCCGATTTCTAATGAGCGTCGCAGCCACAAAGCTCCTCAAGTGATAAACATTGGATTAACAGACTCTCGGGAGAGGAAATGGAGCCATCATTCCAAACTCATCCGCTTTGAACAGGCCAGCAGATGTATACGGCAACGCGGCAGTGTTTATCAACTGAAAGTGATGCACCCCATAGTTTAAAATTACATGGCCCTGTCATTAGGTCACTTTTTTTTTCTTTTTGCAAACTGGCATGTCTATTCAACCTAACTGGGCGGGTGCTACATTTCTGTATCGCTTGGGCAGTTTGCCATTTTAAATGCACTGTTCTTCTTATTCTCAGAAATGAAGTGTTAGTGTCCTATTCAAATTCATATTCAATGCAGGTTGTCCAAGCTTTGTCATCCGAAGGCCGTGTTCATACAAATGCGAGGAGGCAAGGGCCACGTTTAACATTCTTGCACTTTAACACTTTAATTCATTCATCCTGCTTGTGAACATTTTCTCGTTAGTTGGGAAAACGCTTACATGGCTGCTTTCTGTTCAAGGTGAAAAGGCAAATTGTTGAGTATTTTTCAAGATTCTCAGGTGGCTAGCAGCCCTCTATCTCAGTGGACTAGATCCCCCCCTGCTCGGAGGAGTAGCTGAATCCCATCTGGACATTCAGAACCAAAACAAGAGCAAGCTGTACTCAGCCGGCCATTTTTCAGACAGTCACGCGAGAATGATCAACGTGACACATTCATGATTCGGACTTTGACACAGCAGTGTGTGGAAGAAACAGCTGACGCTTATCTTTACTCATCAGTGTTTTGAAGAGAAACTTTTGTTGTAAATGCAGGTGTTCATTTGTATCTTTGCACAGCTAGAAAAGTTATTCAGAATGGAAATCTGTTTATTCACAGCAGTGGCACCAATTTCTTTTCCACACCCTACTTTCTCCCTCTGTCCACCTCCACCATTTTCTTTTCTTGGACTGCTCCTTAATCTCCATCTGGAAGACGCTGCTCCTCGGGTAGCGCAAAGTGCCCAAGAGAAGATGTCACTTTGAAGAAGCTCCGCGAAGCGGAGAAGTCTTTCATTGCCACACATGATTGCTAACTCTCCCTCCTCCAGGTGTGACTGAGGTGACAACTGAGTGGGAAGAGCGTTTAGCACCTGAAGCACGGTGGAGTTGAATCTCCTCCCGGCCAGGATCAGGTGCTCTCTGTGTGGAACTGGAAACCGCGATAGCTATCTTGACCCTGCAATAAGCACTCTGTCCCGCATGTGAGGAAGTGTGCATGCGTCTGATTGAGACTGATGCGTGCCGATTGGTTTTGCCAGGCCGTGTTCGGCGGCGGCTCGCCGGTGTCAGATGAAATTAGCAGCCCCCGATGAAGACCTCCGGGCCCGTAATGCATCAGTGGTACATAAGAATTGAACCGGTCTGTGTCCAAACTACGGCCTGGGGGGCCATTGGCGGCCCGCCAACCATTTTTCAGTGGCCCGTGGCACACACTAACAATGACATTTGACACGGCCCACAAGGCTAGTAAAAAAAGAAAATTTAAAAAAGGTGCAGGTGGGCAGAGTGAGAAAGTAGGGCGTTAAGAAAAAAGAGGTGCCACTACTACTCAAAAACTGATTCACAATCCGAACAGCTTTTCTCGATGTGCCAAGATACAAATGAACGACTGTATTTACAACTAAAATATATCATTGCTTGCCTGACTGATCTTAGCGTGTGGAAAATTTTTGAAAGCGGCCCTTGCATCCTCGCATGTGTATGAATGCGGCCCTCGAAGGAAAAAGTCTGGACACCCCTGTGCTCACCAGTCATCTACTGTGCCGCTTATAATGACTGAAGAAAATACATAAACCGTCAGTCAGAGTTTGAATTAAAAGTCAGACACACTCTGTAAAGAATAATCTTCTACCCTCCACCTACTTCATCTTCCGGTCCCTGTAGGAATTGATATATATTTCCTCTACTTTAGTCACTGGCCATGAAAAACACGTTGGGAGTCAGTAGTTGTTTACAAGAAGAAACAAAATAAACAACACTGAAAAATGGCCATAGCGCTTGACTTTTTGGGAAACAATGAATGGTGCTAGCGGTGGGCAAATGTGCTCACGGCAAAACACACGTCTCTCTTGCCCCCCCCGTGTGCGTGTGTGTGTGTGTGCGTGTGTGTGTGTGTGCGCGCTCGCTCTCCACGTTGGTGGTTTCTCACTGTGTTGGGAAAGAACATATTCAAATGCGCGTGGCTATTAAATGTTAATTTGCACAACAGATGAACGCCAAGTACAGTGCTTCATCAACTAAATCTCCCTCTGTTGCACAAGTTAAACGACCTCTTGATTTTTGGCATGAATGCAACTTTCCAAATGTACCCAGACTTATTTATTTGGTTTTTCAGCTTTCCAAGTAGAAGCGCATTCAATTCTTCTGTCGTTTTGGTCCATCGGAAACAAAACAAAACAAGAAACAGAAGAAAAAAAAATGTCCAAGTGGAATTTTGATCGGCATGGTGGCGTAAATGCTTCCTGACAACATCAACAAAATCCCAGCAGAGAGTCTTATTGAAGGCAGCAAGCAAGCTTAGCGTGTTGATAGATGAGGATTACCGCCGCGGTCTCAGAGCTTTCAACACCGACGGATCCCAACAAGGCGCAGAACTCACAAAAATGTGTACTTAATGGTTTCAATGTCAGCTTTTGAAGGTAGATCAGAAATACTGGAGTTGGTAAGTGGCGTTCGGATCTAATAAGAGTTCTTTGGTGTTGGCTTTTTTTTTTTTTTCTTGGTGCGCAAAGAGCAAGAGCTCTTGTTTCGATAGTTGTCGGCGACATTGTGGAAAGACTGCAAAACGGATTTCCATACACCTTGTATCACATCCAGTATGCAAAGGAAGACTGACAGTACTTGATGTTCCTTTTTTGTGCAAATCAACATGGACGCGTCAGCTCATTTATTTTTTTCTGTAGCTTTTCCTTTAGAAAGGGGAAAGTCATCACATCAGAACCCACTCAATTGAAAAGAGTGATCAAGGGGGCAATCGAAATAAGGAGGCGCCATGGCCGGACAGGAGGCCGTTAAGGAGGCTGGATCGTGCATTTGATTGGACCAAGTGGCTTGAGTCGCAGCTACGTTGCATTTTAAAGACATTGCGAGAAAACAAGCCATCTTGTTTCTCCCAACCGAGTACAAGCGGATGGAGGCGGAATCATGAAAGACGTCGACAGCTCGGCCTTCCCAGCCGTGATGCACGGAGGTGAGTCAAGCGCCGCCATGGACACCCACGCCAAAACGTTGCTGTCAGCAGTGCTCCGATGCTCTCCGTCGGCGTGTAAACGCCTGACACCTTCTCCTGAGCGCATCTGCAACGGAGCCGCAACACGCAGTCACACCACAGATGCTGAAAGAAAGACCCCGGCGCCCGAGCGCCCCGGCGCTCCCTCCCCGGCGCCCCAGCTTTTGAGCTGATGTCGCCTGACGCGGTCACAACATTGTTCCTGCATGGCTACGTCGGGCATGAGGCCGAGCGCCGCGTCGGGACGTACCTGCTTCCTGTTTGAAGGCTCCGTGGAAAACCGTTGTGACGAGCACCTGGTCGGTGTCAGCGCAAGTCAGCATGAGGGCTCCACCGGAGAGACCTGCGGACCCGGAGCAAACGAAAGCAGAGCCTTACTTTAGAGAGCCCGTTGGGCTGTCACTTGCCCCATCTTATATCGCAAAACAAAAGTGCTGACTTGCACTTTCCAGAGGTGTCTTATTCATCTTACTCTCACCTCCACCAAGGGAGGCCCGGTTGCACGTTTTGCTCCACAGACCAATTTACATGGTGACGAAAAGGAACAGAATTGACGGATTCTGTGCTTTAGCATCTAAATTGTGTTTTCATATTACTGCTCACTTGTCCTGAGGGTGACTCAAATCTCACCACTTTTATTGACCCCGCTGTTGTCCGCTCGAGTGCAAAGTATAGACCGGGAAATTCTCCCCCTTTGTCTGTTGTGTTCAAGTCGTGGAGGATTTCTGAAAATCGGTGCCATCACTACCAATATATTTGTTTCACATTTATACTGTGGAACTTCTCAATATTCAAAGATGCAAATAAATGATAAGAACACGATTTATCTTCAAAACACTGTAGTGACTAAAGATAAGCCCATTTAGGAGGCAAAACTAGTTTCTTCCTCTTTGTGCTCTCAGGTTGACTGATGACGACGCCACATGAATGATCCTCAAGCAACCGTTTGAAAAATGGCCACCCGACGACCATTTTTTTTTCCTTTTTTTGCTTCTGAATGTGCAGATGGGACTCGGCTGCTGTTTAGTCCTCAACTATTTGCCTTAACACCTTCAAGAGAAGGCTGATGAAATGAGCCAGACAATAGAAACAATTGCGAATTGCTCTCTTGACTGACTTTAGCGCGTTTCAAAAAGTGGATGAATTTGAAAATGGCCCTTCATCCTTCCATTTTTTTCTGGAGGTGGCCCTCAAAGGAAAAAGTTTGGACACCCCTGTGTTAAACAGTCAAAATCCTTCAATGGCAATAGAGGGATTCAAAAAAAAAAATCCATCATAATGTTACCTACCACCATAAAAGTAGAACAGCTGCTTTGTGAAAAGAAGTAGGCCACTGCAAACAAACGCAACGCAAGGAGGACAAGAATGCTGCTTCTGAATGTTTTCAGCCTTGCCCCAAATCGAGGACACACTTTTAAGGTCAGCAGAGTGTCGCGGAAGTGCAGCGGGTAGCAGAATGTTGCCGGCACTCGGCCGGGTGCGTTGCTGAACCTCGTCGACGTCTGTGGCAAGGTCACGGCGGGAGGCATAAATGGGACTTGATGGCTCTGTTGTTCCACGTCATCCGCCGTGCTCTTCTCCAGACCGTTCGGGGACGGCACCGCTGAGTGCAGCTGACATGCTGTATGCACAAAAGAGGCAAGCCATGTTAGGGGAGGAAAAAAATAATAAGGGTGGCAAAAATAGAGCCCGTTCTCACCGTGGTGAGACACAAGCTTCAGTTAGCCCACACAATGAATTGCTGATGCATTTGCCGCATTCATCCCGACGCTTTTTCTTCTGCCCTTCACACACTCATCCCTGAGTTTTGTTCGCATTTGTTAAACGACGTAGGCAAAGATAATGGAAGTGGACCCTAATGTTACTCCAGACTTTTTTCCCTCTGCTTTGGCAAATGCCTTTTTTTTTTTTTAACTGCAAATTATAACCATAAAAAAAGCCTCTGATCCAACCCATTCTGTTAAATTAATAGAAGCACGCAAAAAAATGTAATGATAGCAATTAAGTCTGGAAAATGCTAATTTTATAGTCAAGGACGATTACCTCATTTATAGCATGTGCTGGAATGATGCCAGACGAAGGTAATTTAGATCCGGGTTGCTCACGGTTACATCATGATGAATAGGAGATGAGCGGGGCTTCATCACGCGCACCTCCAGTCGCACGACTCTCAATCACATGAGGAGCGTCAACGCTGTCAGGGGACAACCGGCGGTCCACAGGGCAGAAATGAGACTGTGGCTGAGTGAGGGTAAAATCCATTTGGAAAAAAGATGTGAGCGAGCGCTCGGGCGTGCAAAAAGGGCGCTTGAGCCCTGACCATGAGCTCGAAAGGCTGTTGAATGAATGAAAGTGGAAGATTAGTGGCCCCTGCCTCCTCGCGTCTGGATGAACGCGGCCCTCAGACGAAAAAGTTTGGACACCCCTGCTCATAAGGTTTTATTGCGCATCATTTAAAATTTCCCATCAAAACTCCACACCCGAGTGACATTTAAATGCAAGCATTTTGAAAACCTAACTGCATCGGGAAGTGTAAAATACTCACCTAAGTTAATTATTTGAGAGAGGCAGCTGGAATGGCATTCCTTTTTTATAGGAGGTCTGCCTGGTGCAATGACGTCTAATAGCTTCCCATTTCGCTTGAGCACTCCCTCCATGCCAGTACAGTACGACATGATGATAGGCCTCGTTGCGACCAACAGCTGCCTTTTCCTGTGTCATAAAAACTGCTGTTTCTTCCTCTTTTTCTTTTTATTTTCTTAGCAGGGGTGCATGTTTTTATTCATTTGGGGGGAGAAAAAAAAAAGTCATATTAGGATTAGAAAGTCCAGTTAGAAACTTTGGCAGCCATTTCTTCCCCAGATTGTCACTTATCGATTGTGCAGCGCAGTTTTTTTTCCCTTCTGAATGACTAGAAGAGTGATTGTTGTCGCACAATTTCTAAAGCTTTTATCTAGTACTCACAGAGTTTGCAGAACTAAAAGCATAAATACCGCTTTGTGCTGTCCGGCAAACGGTTCGGCCATTCCAGAACAAAATTGCCGATGGCCTGGTCAACCTCGCATCTGCGGCCCCTTCTCAAGGTCTCTCATTTTCCTCCGGATGGGGTTTTGGGAGTTATTCCTTGCTCTCCTGGCGGTTAAGGTCACTTTTGCGAGGTGGTAGAGTCGAGGACCCCAAAAAGCAGGGAGGAGCAGGGTGGACTGAGCAAGATGAAATTTACCCAAAAAATACAAACAGGACGTCGCTGGAAAGAACTCACTGAAGTACTCGAACAAAGTCCTGAAAACCCAAGTCACAAAAACCTGGAAACAGAAAACAAAACATGGCAGGAGCATACAGACGCTCACAATGATCCAACCAAGATTGAGCGAACCCAGGGAAGTAAATACAAGCAAAGTGACGAGACACACCTGGACAAAACACAAAGGCTTGAGGGAGCTGATTGGTTCAACACAAGGGACACCGATGACGAGAACAGGTGCGCTCAAAAAAGGCATATGTAACCTAAACAAGTCTCTTTGAGACGCGTTTTGTGGTTAAGGGCAATAGACATAAATGTGTGACTTGACCTGACTTGTTATGATTGCAAATGATTTGAAGGCGGATCTCATTATTTCGATTTTCATGATTTCCCAACTGGAGAAAATGTTTGGAAAATTGACCTACATCACGGCCCCACGATGATCGACCTCAAGTAGGCTTGAGACAAACCCAAAAGATGGTCACGCATCTTGTATTTGCAATTCCGATCTACATATGAGGATAGAAACAAAGGGAAGACACCGGGTGTGAATAAACCAGCGCAAACCCCAATGTATATTTGACCTCACGCTAGCAAAGAGTGAGAATGACATTCGACTCAAACAGAGAAAATGACCGACGGTGGGATGATTTTATCTATCGCAAGACTCATAACAGCATATGCGTTTGTCAATATTGATCAAATAAATCCCAACTACTCCTCGACGTACTTTGATTTCAATTTCAGGAGAGGATTTCACTGTGAAAAATGTGTTGTGATAGAACGCGAGATATTGCACACGTATTTATTTATTAATTTTTTTTATACCGCGGTCATATGAGTAACAATTGCAGGCGGGTCGTACATTGCACCTGGGCTGGACTCTCTGCGGCCCCCATCCATCTCTCGCACAGATTGTGCTCCGGTAGGCGGAGGCCTGCCACGTTAATGGAAAGGGGGCGACGCTGGGAGCATAGAGCCCGGAGAAGCCGGAAATGATCCCTCAGGCCATTGCTGCCACAGGATGAAATAGCGAGACTATTACCGTGGAGTTGTAAAGCTCCACACGCGCCACGCGCTATCATAATAGAATATTGATTCTATCAGATGCCAGGCCGCGGCCTGTCCCCGCGATGAAGAAGCGAGCACTAAAGGTCATTGTGTGAGAGAAGAGAGTGGGGGGAGAGCAGGGGTGGGGGGGGGTGAGAAAGGAGAGCATCAGCCATAGAAAAGAATATTTTGTGCATCACAAACTAGAGTGGCAACTGTGTGCATTGAGTTCATCCTACACAACAGGGGGTTTGAAAAACGACAGCCCGGCGGCCGTTTGTGGCCCCGTCATCCATTTTCCAGCGGCCCGCGACATGACCCAAAAAAATGATAGAATACTAAAAATGACATTTGACATGGGCCACAAGGTTAGTTAAAAAAAGGTGAAGGTGGGCAGCGTGGGAAGGGAGGCTGTGCTGTAGAACTTATATTCCAAGATACAAATAAATGATGTAAAGAAGAACATTTTTTCTTTATCAAAACACTGTCGTGAATTAAGATGATTCAATTTTACAGGCACAAATTGTTGAAGACATCACATGAATGATCCTCAGGTAAGTGTTTGAAAAATGGTCACGGCTGCCGTTTAGGGCAGACTGTCGTGAATTAAGATGATTCAATTTTACAGGCAAAAATTGTTCAAGACATCACATGAATGATCCTCAAGTAAGTGTTTGAAAAATGGTCACGTGGCGAAATTTTTTTTGTTTTGTTTCGGTTCTGAATGTGGAGATTCGGCCGGCGTTTAGGGCAAAGCTGTTGGCCACCCCAAACACTAGGAAAAATCATCAACTATTTTCCTTTTTTAAAAAGTAGATGAATTTGAAAGTGGTCCTTTCACGCTGCCATTTTCCTGTATGCGGCCCTGAAACAAAAAAAATCCCTGCTCAACAACCAATCCACGGTGTTCAGTGAAATTGTGTTTTCCTGCTCAGCAGCTGTCTCACACGCAGCCCTAAGTAACGGGAAGCAATTGGAACTATTAATTGTTGATCAAGGCAGTTGGGAAAAGTGCCAAAAGGAAAAAAAAAATGACAAAATGGGCACCCACCATGTCAACAGCAGCACAAGCAGGAGACGTTTATGCTTGATTGGAGTAATTTAATGTTTTCTTACCCCCCCCCCCCCAAAAAAATGCTCACAGGCAGGTAAGCGGGGGTTGGGGGTGGGGGGGGGGGGGGGCTTCACTGGAGGAAGCATTTCATGGCAACAGTTGGGCTGATAGAACTTTAAATTTGGAATTAAAATTTAAAAAAAAAGACAACAGATCATATTGTTTACGAAAAGGTGCTTCTTTAACAGTCCTCATGAAATAACGACAATGATAATGAGGCCACTTTTATCCTGTCTGGAGGAAATCAAGAATAAGCCTAAAAAAAAAAAAAATGTGTATATATATATATAT